TTGTGGTCTAATGACACCTGGATTGAACTCCTATATGGGAGGTTATGAGTTCAAGCCTCAGAAGAAAAAAAAAAAAAAGAAGCTCTTTTTATTTTATGCTATAAATTAAATTTCCTTAAGAAGATCCGCAGTACGAAAAACATCCCATTTATAAAAATCATTCTTTTAAGTTATTTCAGACTTCTTTAACGGTGTCGAGCCATAAAACACACTAAGCGAGATTACAGGTATCACTAGATGCAAGAGTTAGGACAAAACCATATTATTTGCCATTTGCCATGCCACATAGTTAGGTGACGTCCACTGAGGCTTGAACTCACAACTTTCCAAATGGAAGTCCAACCTGAGTATCATTAGACCACATAGTCTTAGTTCAATAAATGACTTAATGTATGAAGAATACTATGCAAGTATAATATAAGAAAATAAAATTATGTATTTGATTATTTTCTATTACTAGTAATTGGCACGTACGATGCACAAACTATTATTAATTTAACAAATTTATCAATTAAATTTTTGACATCATCTGAATTTGTAAAGAAAGTAATGGTTGTGGAAACAGAAAAATATACTTGAGTTCTTGAGCTCAGAATTAGTTTGATTAAAAATGTAAGTATAACTATACAATTTAATATTTAATATTTTAAAGTTTAATTATGCTATTATTATGTTAATTTTAAAGTTTATTGTTACTTGTATTATTATTTTGAATTTGATTTTCTTTTGAAAGGAATTTGAATTTGAAATAATTACTTTAATTATATAACTAATGTATTTAAATAAAACTTGTAAATAAAATAACAGGCGATATTTGTCGAAAATCTCCACCAAAAACTTATTCATTTGAAAAAGATTATTTATGTAAGAATTATATTTATTTTATATCTAATTCTCTTTATATATGTGGAGTCAAATTAATTATAATTGAGGTTTAAATGAATATATACACAAATTATATTAAATATAAAACTTTACCAATAAATTTGAACACAATAAACTTTTTTCCATACTTCATTATGCTTTAATATATATAGAGATAGAGATAGAGCTATAATAATAAAATATACGGAGTAATTTATAAAATTTAATACACATAATAACTTCAAAAAAATATGTATAAATACATCTACCCACATAATTAATACATTCATACTTGCTAATCTTGTTTCTATCAAAATACATTCACACTTTAAATGAAAAATTTTGTGGTTAGATTCTGCTTTATTATATATATATATATATATATATATATATATATATATATATATATATGTATGTATGTATGTATATGTATATATATATATATATGTATATACATATATATACATATACATATACATATACATATATATATATATATATATATATATATATATAATATATATATATATATATATATATATATATATATATAAAGATAAAGATATTAGTTATAATTTTTGGCATAATGGTAGACATTTTATATTGACAATTAATATTAGAGCATATTTTATAAGAAAATTAATTAGCTCTGCTTAATCGATAAAAATATCTACTCGGATTTACTTATGCTATTCCCCATGGATTTACTTATGCTATTCCCCATGTTGCTAGGTAATTAACATTCTTTTTGGGTATTTATTTAGAGTTAATTTCACATGAGGTTCCTTGTCTTTGATGGTAATCTCAAATTTAGTCTCAGGCTATCGTTTTTGTCATTTAACATCCAGATTATCGTTTTTGCCTAAACTTTTATAAAATGCTAAGTATTATTACTCTGGGCACATGCTCTATTTTATTATAGGAAAAATGAAAAGAGAAAATGGAATACAAAATAGAGTAAGTGGAGTATAACTCATACCAATTATATTTAAAATTTTAAAAATTAAGAATTTAATATGAAATTTTGTGTATTATGAAAATTAGTTCTAATTATATTATCCAACTTAGAAAAAAAAATTGGCGAGACGGTCGAGTTTGACCTTGGACCAGTATCCGTACACGGCGGAGTTGAAGGCAGGGGGGAAACCGTGGTCCGCGGCAGATTGGCGAACCATGGCTCATTCCGTTGGAGGGGAGGGAGAGGGTGGTTGGGGGTGTGAAGGGGACTGTGATGGGGGCGGGTTTGGGTGGTGAGGGGGCGGGTTAGCCGAATGGTGAGCGGGAGGGTGAGGGGGTGGGGGTGACTGCAGTTTCGAAGAAAAGGAGGGGGTGGACGGTGATGTGATAATGTCTGAAGTGCCAAAAAACGGGTTTACGGCGAGTCCTGTCGATCAGGCCCGCCCTTCGTCATGAGTACGATAAGTTAGAACTGCCGTGGATTGGGCAATACACGGACAGTTCGAGAAATAGTGGACCTTGTGTGCTGAAAGAGGCCCGAGTTCGTCTACTTGATGGAAACGAAGGTAGGACGAACGCATGCGGAAAGGTTGCGAGTAAAGATTGGTTTTGAAGGCTTGTTCTATGTGGACAGTGTAGGTGTAGCAGGTGGCTTGGCACTGCTATGGAGGAAAAATAATACTGCTAGGTTATTAAGCTACTCGAAGAATCATGTGGATATTGAGGTAGCAATAAGGAGGGAGGTATGGCGTATGACGTGCTTTTATGGGTTCCCCCAGAGAAATAGACGAGGGGAGGCCTGACAACTGTTGAGTGGTTTGAAGGATAAGTCGGCGCTGCCATGGGTAGTATAGTAGGGGATTTTAATGATCTCTTGCACCAGCAGGAGAAGAGAGGGGGGAATCCACACCTGGATCGTCTCTTGCGGGGTTTTGGGGAGACTTTGGATAATTGTGGTCTGATCCAATTGCCGATGAGAGGGCATCAATTTACATGGGAGAAAGGGAAAGGTACGGATCGATGGATAGAGGAAGATTAGATAAGGTATTTGTAATAATGCCTTGGACCGACATGCATGGGAGGCTTGGGTTGAGAATATCCAGACTCGCAGCTCGGATCACTCGGCTTTCTTTCTGAGTAATAATGCAATGGTACGCAGGCAAGTGAGACCGAGGGGATTTAGGTTTGAGATGGCCTGGATTCATGATGATGGTTGCAGGGAAGTGGTTGAATTTGCCTGGCAGATTGGAAGGGACAGGGGTTTGTTGAATTGTCAACAATATTGTGGTGGTAGGCTTATGCGGTGGGGTGGGGAAACTGGAGTAAATTTGGGGACCGCATAAAGGGGTTGAGACGCGAGCAGGATGCGCTGCGACACTGAATAGACTCGGCTGCTCTGGCTGAGTTTCGACGGCTTGAAGCCATGTAGACTTAGGTAGAGGTCCAGGAGGATGTGTTTTGGAGACAGCGGGCTAAACAACACTGGCTCCGTGGTGCGGATGCGAACACGAAATTTTACCACAGGTATGCCTCTGCTCGTAAGCATAAAAATTATCTTTCTAGATTAAAGAATGATGCTGGTGATTGGGTGGAAGGGGATGATATGAAGAGAGTTATTTTGGATTATTATGATGCTATTTTTGCCTCTTCTGATTCTGTGTGTGAGGATCCCATGTTTGATGAGTTTATTCCCCGTGTGACTAATGATCAAAATAATGCTTTATTACGTCCCTATGAGTCTGATGAGGTTAAGAGTGCATTATTTGCGATGTTCCCTGATAAGGCACCGGGGCCGAATGGTTTGAACCCGGGGTTCTATCAGCAGTTTTGGGATATAGTAGGAAGGGATCTTTCTGCGTTTATCGTAGACTGTTTGAATACTGGCATCTTCCTCGATGGGTTGAACGATACTAATGTAATTTTAATCCCCAAAAAAAATGTGCCTGAGACTGTAGCTGATATGAGGCCAATTGCTTTAAGTAATGTGTTGTATAGAATTATGGCAAAGGTAATAGCTAACAGGATGAAACCACTGATGGGGGACATTATCTCTGAATCTCAGAGTGCTTTTATCCCTGGTAGATTAATTACTAATAATATTCTTATAGCTACGGAAGTGGGACATTACTTGAATAGAAAGCAGTGTGGCCCGACAGGGTGGGGGGCTTTAAAGTTAGACATGGCTAAAGCGTATGATAGAATGGAATGGCGATTCCTGCAGAGAATGTTGGAGGTTATGGGGTTTGATGAGAGATGGAATAATCTGATCATGCATTGTGTTACTACACTTCAGTATAATATTTTGGTTAATGGTGCTAACAGTGGCAGGTTGGTACCGTCCCGCGCCATTCAGTATATGGTGATCCGCTTTCCCCATATTTATTCATTATTTGTGCAGAAGGATTGTCTATGTTATTGCAGAAAGCTCAGATAACTGGCTCTATACATGGATGTAGGGTGGCGCGGGGTGCCCCCCGGTTTCACATTTGTTTTTTTACAAATGACAGCCTGTTATTCTTTAAGGCAAATAATCAGGAGGCAACTGTGGTTAAGGAGTGCCTACAACGATATGAGGAGCTGTCGGGGCAAAAGGTTAACTATCATAAATCCAATATCTATTTCAGTAAGAACAGCAGGGGGACATGGATGTAGTCGCTGCGTGTTTGCAGGTGGACCAAGCACCCAACTTTGGGAAATATTTGGGGCTGCCCTCTTTTATTGGTAGGAATAAGAGAATGGTGTTCTATTATATAGAGGATAGAATAAAACAAAGAATTGGCTCGTGGAATAAGAAGATACTATCGCAGGCAGGCAAGGAGATCCTATTAAAGAGTGTGGCGCAGTCAATGCCAACTTTTTCAATGGGTGTTTTCTTACTACCTGACACGGTCTGTTTTTCAATTCAGAGGACTATGAACAGATATTGGTGGGGAAATGGGGGAGAAAGGGGAATTCACTGGAAAGCCTGGGATAAATTATGTATCCCTAAGAAGTTTGGTGGTTTGGGATTTAAGGACCTCAGGAACTTTAATTTGGTAATGTTAAGGAAGCAGGCATGACACTTTCTTACAAAACCCACCTCCCTGGTTGCATCGATTTATAAAGCCCGATATTACCCTGCTACCTCGTTTATTGATGCTAAAGTGGGCAGTAGTCCAAGTTATGCTTGGAGAAGTATTATGGCTGCTCATGACATGGTTGTTGCAGGAGTACGTAGACGGATTGGGGATGGTCAAACAACATTGATTTTGGGATACCCGTGGTTGCCAGATGATCCTAGTCCTCTCATTCAAACTGAAATGCCTGAGGAACTAAGACATGCGAAAGTGGCAGGCTTAATTGATGAGCAGACTAATATGTGGGATCCATATATATTATCTGATTTATTTATTCCTGAGGATGTCAATCGTATACTCAGGATTCCTGTAAGCCCTGGTTATGGTGACTCGTGGTATTGGCTTGGGGACCCAAATGGAATTTATTCAGTGAAGAATGCCTACAGAAATATTATGGGTAATTATGAGCATATGCCAGGAGTGTTTGATAAGTGGACTAATATATGAAAAATGAAGGTGCCACCAAAGTGGAGGACTTTCCTGTGGAGAGCAATTTGTGATATCCTCCTTACCACTGCTAATTTAATTATTAAAAGGGTGGATATTGATCCTATATGCCAGAAGTGTGATTTAATGAATGAGGATGTTATGCATGCACTTGTTAATTGTGATTATTCTAAACTTGTTTGGAATATTACAGGCCTACCTATCACAAATATTATTACCGATTCTTTCCCCGCCTGGCTAACAGCTGCGCTTGCAATTTTGACAGAGGAACAGAGTGGTACCTTGGTGGCGGTTCTTTATCACTTATGGCAGAGTCGCAACTCAGCCGTGTGGGATAAATCTTTACCTCATCCCGCCGGCCTGTGGAGGAGAGCATCCGCGGCAATGGGTTCATACCGCCACGCCAATCACCGTCCCGCGCTGCCGGCACCGCACGGACCGGAGCATGCCCATCACGCCAGGCCACGGTGCTTTGTAGACGCAAGCTTCCGTCACGCTACGGGGGAGGCGTCCTATGGAGTGGTCCTACTCTCGCCGGATGGATCGTTCATAGCGGCGCGAAACAGAATTCTACCAATTTGCTTCTCACCTTTTATGGCGGAGGCCATGGCTTGTAAGGAGGCTCTATCATGTCTGATCGAAAGGAATACGGTTGATGTGGATCTACTCACGGATTGTTTGCAACTACGGAATGTTGTGCGCCAGGGGTCAACAACTGTTATGTCATATGCTGGACTCGCAGTCGACCATTGTAGGTCGCTGATGGCTTCATTTACTTATTGTTCGTTAAGTTATGTTTCTAGGCAGTTTAATTTACATGCACATGCTTTAGCTTCGTTAGCTATTACTCAGGATCAGGTTATGACGTGGGATTTAATCCCACCTGACTCTATTGCAGCTTTGCTTCATTAATACAATCATTTATTGGTTGGCTTTCAAAAAACTTAGAAAAAAATTGATGTTGGTTATTATTAGTTGTTATCTTTATCTTTATCTTTATTATTATTATTATTATTATTATTATTATTATTATTATTATTATTATTATTATATTATATTATTATTATTATTATTATTATTATTATTATTATTATTATTATTATTATTATTATATATTAAAGCAAAATGATTGGCAAAAAAGTTTTCCCTCCAAAGTGTGAAAGCAATAATAATAATAATAATAATAATAATAATAATAATAATAATAATAATAATAATAACAATAACAATAACAATAACAATAACAATAACAATAACAGCAACAACAACAACAATAACAATAACAACAACAACAACAACAACAACAATAATAATAATAATACTTACCTTAATAATACTAATTATTCTTATAGAAAGAAAATTAGTATTACTTACCTTAATAATACTAATTATTCTTATTAAATCATCTCCATAATTATGACACTCCTAAACTTTGTCTAATAATTATTTAATAATAATAATAATTACTTACTAATAATAATAATAATAATAATAATAATAATAAACAAAATAAGTACTTACCTTAATAATACTTATTGTTCTTATTAAACACTATCCATAATTCAGGCTGGCATTACCCCAGCAAACTTGCCCATTGCAAGATGACATGGAAAGTGCCAGCTATGTTTTTTTTTTTTTTTAATAGTGAGTTGGATTGCAAGTTTGCTATGCTTGCAAACTTGCAACCGTATTTTTTTTTTGTTTTTTATATTTTTATTTTGTTTGTTTTATTTAGTTTTTATTTTGTAGGACTTTTTTTATTTTGTTTGTTTAGTGTGTTTTGTTGCCGTATTAAGTTTTTTTTTTTTTTAATATGTAATAATTTTTTTAATAAAATAATATATTAAAAGAATACATAACATTTCATTGATTTAGAAATACAATGCATACAAATTAATTTCATCATACGTGTCTAAAAATTATATTGATATACATACATTTTTTTTGAAAGATTGATGTACATACATTCATTAATATAGGTAAATGAATTCAATAATACATACATTTAGTTTTTCCATTAATACATACATACATAATTAGTTATTTTCAAATTTGTTATATTTAATATTTAAATATAATTTATATATTGATATAAATTAATAATGTTGAAGACAAAATAATATTTATTAAGAAAAAAATATTAATTTTTTAAAGTGATGTGAAATTGGAGCCCACTTTTGAAGGTTGATTGGATTTGCAGGGATGTAGTGTGAATAGTAGATGATTTGTAAATGAGATGATGTGGAAGTGAGACCCATTTTTGAGAGTGGGAAATATTTGCACAGGGAAAAGTTCAGCCCTAAACTTTGTCTAATAATTACTTAATAATAATAATAATTACTTACAATAATAATAATAAACAAAATAAGTACTTACCTTAATAATACTTATTATTCTTATTAAACCTTCTTCATAATTCTGACAATCCTAAACTTTGTCTAATAATTATTTATTATTTAATAATAATAATAATAATAATAATAATAATAGTAAAATAAAAATAATAACTACAATGTAATAGAGCCAGTAGCTTTTTAAAAAAAAAATAAAAATAATAATAATAATTGGTAAAATGAGATTAACAATATGAATACATTTATTGTGTTTACATTTATTGGTAAAGTTTTATATCAAATCATTACTTTCTAATATAATTTTACTTTTATTACATCATCATTATTATTATATTGAATATTAAATTAAATATATTATTACGCCCTAATAATATATATGTGTAAGTTATATACGTTGCAACTCTAATAAATAAATATACTATAATTTGATTTGAAATTAATTAAAACCAATTAATTAATAATAATTACTTACCAATAATAATAATAATAAACATAATAATTTTTTTTTGTTTTTTTGTTTTTTTTTTTGTTTTTTTTTTGTTTTTTTTTTTTGCCCGGATGGGTAGCTCAACTGGTCATAGAGGTGAAACTTTGGAAGAATGACCAGGGATCGAGTCTTACAAGTAGCAGCGTGGGAGCAACCTCTTAAAGTGAGGGGGGCTCCTTGTGCGCAGTGAGCACCGGTCTAGCCTCTGTGGTTCATGTTCAGTTGAGTCACCATGATTTACATCCTCCCAAATGCTTTGTCGGGCCGGGGTTGGGGTTCAACCTTTTGGAAGAATAAACAAAATAAAATAAGTACTTACCTTAATAATACTTATTATTCTTATTAAACCCTCTCCATAATTCTGACCATCCTAAACTTTGTCTAATAATTATTTATTATTATTTAATAATAATAATAGTAATAATTGGTCAAATGAGACTAGCAATATGAATACATTTATTGTGTTCACATTTATTGGTAAAGTATTATATTAAATCATTACTTCCTAATATAATTTCATTTCTATTACATCATTATTACAATATTATTATTATTATATTAAATATATTATTACGCCCTAATATATATATATATATATATATATATATATATATATATATATATATGTATGTACGTTACATATGTTACAACACTAATAAATATACTATAATTTGATTGGAAATTAATTAAAACCAATTAATTAATAATATTTCATAATTACACTTTCCTTTTTGAAAAATTACTAATAAATATACTATAATTTGATTGGAAATTAATTAAAACTAATTAATTAATAATATTTCATAATTACACTTTCCTTTTTGAAAAATTAATTACACTTTCCTTTTTGAAAAATTATACAAATTTATAATTCTCATATTTTCTACCTATAAATACAAATCATTCTTCCAAGGCTAGGGCCTGGGGGGCTTAACCCCAACCCAATGCGCTGCCGCTGGTATGACTCAATCCCTGGTCATTCTTCTAAAGTTTCACTTGTGTGACCAGTTGAGCTGCACATGCGGGTGTGAGTTTGGAAATCATAATATTTCATTTTGCACTGTTTCCCTCTTCTTCCCGTCCTCTTTGTGGAATCACATCTTGGTGTTGAACTCATGAAAACGTAAGTATTTTTTCACACCTTTCAAGATTATTATTATTATTATTATTATTATTATTATTATTATTATTATTATTATTATTATTATTTGCAATTGTCGCTTGAATTGTTTTTAGAGCTGCTGGATCCAATGGATTGGGCATTGATGGAGACCCTGGTAACATTGGCTACAAAGCTGATTTTGTAATTTTTCGGCAGCAAGGAAGGGCTAATGTTTTTCTTATAGGAAATCAAACTCCTCTTCTCCTCACAGGCAACGAAGCGCTTTGCTGAACCGGAAAGTGATTCATTTTTAGTTTTTTTTTTTTCTCTTTATTCATCTTAGATCATTACAAGATGTATACGAAGAACGAAACGAAACAAAACCTGGTTTCAACACCAAAAACACAGAAGTTAATGATAGAGATCAATGACTAAGTCATGGATTTGAACTATCAAGTATAATTTACTTTTTTTTAAAAAAAAAATTGTGAATCAATATAAATTAGCCAGATTTGTCGAAAGATAAAAGAAATTTAAAGGCGAAAATAACTTAATAAGCTAACTACAATTAATACAAAATTATATAAACAAAAATCATCATCTAGAGAGATTTCAGAGACAAAGTTGAAGAAAAAAAAAGTAAAAAAATCATCAATTTCACAATGAAATTGATATTTTTGACCTTTTATCTTCAACTTTGTCTTTGAAATTTCTATTGAAGTCAATACTTCAATGAAAAATTCACCAAAACCGAGCAAAATCGAATTTCAAATCGAATCAGCTAAAGTCCTGAACTCTATTTAAAATGGAAAAAAAAAAATAAACATATCGCTTTCTGAGAAAAAAAAAACCTGAAAAATAATCAAACTTTAACTTAAAATTGAAAAACAAAATTGCCCCTAAATACCTTGAAAGTATTATATATAGTAATTTTATGTTAATCTCCATTTACATTCTTTCATTAAATTATTATGATAACGACGGTGATTTTGATAATTTTGTAGGATTTTTTGAAACATAGAGTTAGTATGTTGATTTCGAGGCTTAATTTGTATATGCTATTCAAGTTTCTATGCTTTTTCTCATCCCACTTTTCCTTTTTCTAGAGAGAGTAGGAATGTGACAGTGATGAATTCAGAAATATAATATTTCTCCTGTGGATATATTTGTGACAATTTCATTAAATTATAATTAATAAAATATAAAATATAATTAAGGAAATGAAATTATCAAATTAAAAATATATAAACATTTATAAATTTTTGTAAATACATACATATATACACTTATGCACTATATTAACCATACAAAATTTAAATGCTACTTTTTAAATTTCTAAACGTAATTGTTAAATTATAAATCTATCAATATAAATTATAATTTGTGAAATTATATTATAGAATTTTTCTATATACGCATCAATAAATATTATGTGTATATACGATGTATTATATAATCATACAAGGAACCAGGACTATGTGGTCTAATGGTATCCGGGTTGGACTTCCATTTGGAAGATTGTGATTTCGAGCCTCAGTGGATATTGGCTCTTTGTGTTTCAGTAGGTTGAGAAAGTATATGAACAGATACTACATTGTAATAGAGCTAGTAGCATTCAAAAAAAAAATATAATCATACAAGGAAATGTGTCCGATTAGAGTTTAAATTTACCCATACAAAATTTAAAATTTACATTTTTAAAATTAATTTCTAAGTATAATTCTCTTAGTTATTATTCATATTTTTAGAATTATAATATATATATATATATATATATATATATATATATATATATATATGAATTACAATTAGGAATAAATCCACTTAATTATGTAAATTTTTTCTATAAATTTATGTAAATATATACATAATTAAATATTATATTAACCATACAAAATTTAAATGTAAATATTGTACGTTATGAAAATAGATATTTGACCAAATATATAAACATCCAACTATATTATTA